ATGAATTGGAGCTATACAAATTGAATTGAATTGAATTTAATACCTAATCTTTGGCCTTGGAAGTCAAAAGGCTCGAGTCCAAGTGAAGTCATGAGTCACTGATCTTAAAGTCCAAGTCAAGTTGCAAGTCGTTTTAATTTTGTTGGGTTTAATGTCATCAAATTTTGAGTCCACACTTCTGCTATATAGTGCATAAAATTAAATGGCTGTAAATAAATAGGGCATGATTTCAGATACATCCACCGTCTTGGTTAAAGTTTGACCAGTGCAGTCATCACTAGTAAGGCAAGACTGATGACTCTAGCGGTCCACAAGAAGTCCATTAGGATGTGTGAATTATGTCACAGGGGTCCAGAGTAGTATTTCCTATGTGGGCAGTGTTGGTGTCTGCGTTCTCATCAATTAGATAAATTACTCAGTGGGCTAATGTGAAAAAGCTTGGTGTTACTGTGTTCCTTACTCCACCCGCCTGCTCTTGTGCCGCCAGGTTCTCCCGATCGGACGAACTGTCTCGTCACCGCCGCTCTCACTCCGGCATCAAGCCGTACGAGTGCTCGCTGTGCGAGAAGAAGTTCGCCCGCAGTGACCACTTATCCAAACACACGAAAGTCCACCGCAGCTCCAGGCCCAGCAGGATTATCAGAGCCACTGTGTGAGACCCCTTCAGCTGGCCTAAAACCCTGCCCTGCGCCCACCCAGCCTGGCCTGCCTTCGACCAGCTCGGGGGGCCAGGGGCTCCCTCAGGACTTTTGGTGCTTCACAAGCAGAACTTTCAGAAGAATCTTGATAGCTGGCTGCTGTTGTCCCCTCATAGTTTCCTTCTTCTCTCTCCTCCCCGTTGTTTATCTTTCACTGTTTCTTCTGAGCAGCTTGTCCTATACTGAACGAAAAGCCCCCTCAGGAAAAAGACAGCTGAAAGTGGATTTCCTGGCCTTCACACACACACACACACAAGACAAAAACATACAAGAGGAGAAAGTTTTACAGAGGCCCCTCTTGCAGCCAATGTGTGCACTGCTGTTCCTGTTACCAAGCTACCAGGTGCTGTTGGAAGTAGGGTGGCAACCAGTAATAGGAGTGTCTGTAATTCTATAATCTCCTCTTTAATTTTGTGATAGCCCTTCTTCCTCAAAGCCAAACTTCAGGGTCCACACACATAAAGCTTCCCAGTGTTTTTGTACGTTGCTGAAGTAAAAATTTAGAGTCACATGTACGCCATGTGTTCTAACCAGAAGGCTTGCAATGGACATGTTCACATAAAGTAAAATTAAAGCAGCAGAATCTCCTCTAGATACAGCTCACCCTGACTGAACTGTATGACTCTTGATATTTGGAGTAAATGCTGAGATATTGTTTTTGTCAAACTAAACTTGTGGCTTTGCTCCCAATTTGGCTGAGAAAAACTTTCGATGTTTGTTTGCATCCAACCCTGGCCTTTTATTGCATTCGTCCAATCATAATCCACCCTGTTTTGACCTGTATGCCTTTTCTCAGCCCCACTATGCCCTAATCTCTATCGATGCCTTTGTCCGTATCACAAAACCTCACTTGATCCTACTGTTATCATATGACTGCTCTTATTTAACTGTGATTCTGAACCGGGGGTTGCCAAACCAGAAATCCCTGTTCTGGCCCTGTGAGAGCATGAAAAACGACATCCTCGGTGCGTGACAGTATATAAGCTCTTTGTTCTCTGAAACTCTCTTGAAATCATTGTGCAGCCGACTTATGTGGCCTAGAAAACGACTCGGTATATATGTTACGTTTTGGCTCAATGGTGCAAAAGTGATGTGAAACACTACTCTTTTTTCTTTACAGTAGCACTTACTGTAAGACATTTCTCTGTTGATTATAGCAGCAAGAAAAGCTAATAGGTTAAACAGCTGGAAAGGCAGCTAACATCTATTCAATCATCTGTATTAGCATACTCAATATAATATGTACTGAACGTGTACAGCTTGTAGCCTTTATATAGATGTTTTTTTATCAAAGACGATTTTCAATCAGTGCATTAAGCTATTCAGTCGTGTTTCCGGAGAGGTTTTTGGTCTGTTATGTGAGTTTGATTGTAGCGTGATCAATCTGTGGAATGTCAGACTGATTATGGTCTGGGATTTGGAGTCCCACTCTACCATTCACAAACCATTAAGCTGAGTCTGCTGGTCTCAAGTGCACTTGTGTTAGTGGAAAGTGAGAAACGGTCATTGTGCTCTTATGGCAGTTCCGTAAAATGTATTGGAACCGTAAATGCCAAAAAAAAAACAGATTTTCCAAGGAAGGTTAAACTGCACTGCGCAGTGCAGACACTATTATCATTTATTCTTTGATCTCAACACTTGGTGCTTGTTAACCTAACAGTGCTTCACGTAAAGAGACTGTATAACTGACAGCATAGCGCTTCACATAACTGGATTGTCTCTGTTGAACCAGCAGACACTTTACTACTACAAATCGTTCTTAACTTAGCTCAAGCAACATTGGTGCTTTTGGATGAACTCAAAACTAGAGCACTTCTGCATGTAGCAGTGCACATTTACACAGCAATCATGCATATATCTTTGTCTTGTAGCATTAAGGATACATTAGAATTCACTCCTTAAACCATGCTTAGTAATGTAGGAACCCGTTCAAAGCAGACAGACGGGCAGACGTGTTTATCTGTCTGAACCAGCGCTGTCTTTGTGTCTGAGCCTCCCCAGGCTGCTTCTACTGACCTACATCCAGACCTGTATTCCCTAATCATCGTCATCCAATTCTCTCTCTGTCTCTCTTCTTCTGTTTCTCTCTCAATCTTGTCTGTGTATCTGGTTGAACACAGGCTGTTTTTTTGTTTGTTTTTTTTGAATACCAGAAATGCTATTTTCCTATTTGCAAAAATAAAAGCAAAAAAAAGAAAATATGGAATCCTTTGCTTTGTTGTTATTTGAGGGATGCTTATATGAAAAGAACTGTATAGAATGGGTTATAATAATAGCTGGATTCATGTGTGAAAAGTCAAAGAAATTCGAAAATTGTGAAGAAAAAATTGTGTGAAATAAGTCATTTTTAACCCTCACTACCATTCAGCAGGGTGTCCACAGGGTCTTAGAAAGTCTGAAAGCCAATAATCTGAATCTTTAGGCCTCAAAGATACTTCATTATGACATCTCAGGTCTTCAAAATGGTTGGGATTAATGAAGTCTACGATCTACTTATTATAAAGGCTGCCTTTTTTAGTCTTGCTTACACATGTTTTTTCTGGGAAAAAATTGGTATGTCCATGCCTGTAACCAACTGCAAAACCTGAAACCGCGTGAATCACCATCCAAATTTCCTTCACATCCTTTTGATTGTATAATTGCCAATGTGGACGGTAAAATATCTCAAACTGATTCATAATTGTCTTAAAAAGGTCTTGAATGCATCCAGTTGAAACCTGCAGAAACCCTGGGCTAATATATGATGAGTGATATAGTCTCCTTTAGACCTCTGCCTGTTAATGATTGTGGTGTAAAGTAATAAATTTGCTAAAATACTGTACTTAAAGGTGCGCATATCATTATATTTGAACTGACAATGGATCAGATGGCTAGGTGTAATGTGAATGGGGTTGCTCATATAGACAAACTGATAGAATTATCACCCAACTCTGCAGTTTCTGTCGGCCTCTTTTAGCTTACTTTGGTTGAACGTCAAACAACAAAGTTAGCGGCTAGCTGTTGAATACAGTGGATCAATATTTCCCTCAGGAATTGGTGGAGACCAAAGCAGAGCTAAGTGAATATATTCATTCTACTACCCTAAATGGCCTGAAACACAAATTAAAATGAATGCTAATTTTGCTTTGCGTCATCTGGATGTGCAAACAGTCTGGTTACAACAACTTGATAATACCTACTGTAAATGAAGTGTGCCCAAAAAATCTATTAATGCAGCTTTAAGCATGAGTTTTAACATTTTCCAGTACTTATATATATATATACGTATTATACTTTTTACTAGGCAGCCTTTATTTGACAACCGTATTACAAGTTTTTTGTACAAGTTGTTTAAGGGTTACATTACAACGTGTTGGCTAACGTTAGCAAAGAATTGCCACATTAGCAACATTAGCATTCATTTGGAATCATGTTTCTGGTGACTCAACACAAGTCTCAAGTCCAACAATCACTCATCTTTTTACCTATTTCATCGCCTTTACCTACTTTAACTGCTGAGAAATATAAATGCTCCACTGTATTCACCAGCTAGCTGCTAGCTTTGTCAGTCTGTTGCTTGGTACTGAGCAGGTGGTGTACAGTGGGTTTATCAGCTAAAGCGAGCAGCTGTCTGCTGCGGCTGGAAACAACGTTGATGAGGACACAGACTTAACCAAAGTAGTAAATTTGTGGGCTGGGAAATCCAAAACAATGAGGGGAAGTGGAAAGTCAAGAGACTCAAACATCCTCTTTCACATTACACATTTGACACATTGTTAAAAAACAATTAAACAACATTAAACAGCTTTAATATTTAAAAAGCCTACGATGAGTAATAAATACATTGGTATACAGGACTTCACACTATCACAAAACTATCACACAGTATGCCTATAACTTCACCATCAGCTACAACATTCAAATCCTGTACTAATTTACCCAGTGAATGTCTCACTGAAATGACACCCATCTGAATTTCCTGCAGCAGTGGATTACAGCACTGAGTGGGTGGCAGGATAACCACATCAAGGCCACTCCAAAATGCAGGCAGCTTTCAATTCTGTAATCACTTTCCAATACTGATCTGACTGCTGCAGTATGGTGCAATATCTCTTAGTTCAGCACTCCAGAAAGCAGAGAGGAAGCTGCAGCTCTGTCTGCACACATATCAGGCTGGAATTTCTGGCTGTTGGTACTTTCCAGTTGTGTTTGGCTGGGAGGGAGCACCCGCAGGGAACTGGGACTGGCTTCAAAGCAAAAACCTGCGTTGCCTCCTTTCCCGCTATGCTCTTTCACACTCTGGGATGAGCTCGCTATTGTGGAAAGATGTGGTCAGAAAAAGCATCTGATTCCTGTCGTGTTCTGATTCACAAAGGGTAGATGAGGCAGGTGGTGGAATAGAGAAAGTGGGCTGGATAGAGGGAAGAAGGGGGGTTTCCTTTTAGAAATGAAATGTGCCCACAGGCTGTAATGTAATAAGAGTAGCTGACAACAGTTGTGACCAGAGGTTACTGTACAACAGAGTACTGTACTGTCTTTAAAGAGGAACAGTACTGTCTTAAAAGAGCTATATATTTACTCTGATCATTTGATCTCTCTCATCTCAGTATAGAACAGAGAAGAACGTTGTTATTCTGTTGCAGTGGATCTTTAAGGCTGTTTCTTTGTCAATTATTAAGAAATGTATTTTAAGAATTTATGAAATCTTTTCTCCTTCTCCTTTATTCCCTTTCCCCCTTCTTTGTAAACTAAATGTCTATAGGAATCAGAAAAGCTTAAAGCTGCTATTAATATTAATAATTTATATCAATAATGGATTAAATCATTATGTGCAATCTAAAACTGCTTGTAGTGAGAATCATCACCCAAGTCTGCAGTTTCAGCTCTACAAAGTATTTTAGCTTCTGTAACCTTAATCCTACTGACAGAGGTACCCGCAGACCTCAGAGGTGTACCTTTTGTCATATCTCACTGGTGCATGGCTCTGTCATTCCACTTTTTCTTGACTTTGTCAGCCAATCTGTTCCTCATGACTTCATATAATTTTTTTCTGTTTTAATAAGTGCTATTGTAGTTGTTTTTTAAAGTAGTTTCTTCTTTGGGACCCAAGTCAGGACTCAGTAGTCCTTGTATAGGACCAGTGTGTAGGATTTATTGGCATCTAGCAGTGAAGCTGCAGCAACTAACTGAACACCGCTCGTGTCTGTATTTGATGACATGGGAATGAAAATGGGCTGTGAAGTGTATAGGAGAAACTGCATTGGCTGTGAAACACATGAAAAACATGAAAGGCCCTATTAACATTCAGTGTTTGGTTTGTCCGTTCTGGGCTACTGCTAACATGGCGGTTCAACATGGCGGACTGCATGGAAGGTGATCTGCGACGTCTGTAGATTAAAATGGCTCATTCTAAGGTAACAAAACCAATTCCTACATCCCGGTGATTATACACTGATGAAAACATACCTATGAATATTATATTGCATTTTTGCCAATAGATCCTCGTACACTGGACCAGTGGAGTGCTGCAGGGATGGCGTATTTTCGTAAGCAAACCCGGAAGTTAGCATCACCCTGGTTCCTTTGACAAAAAGGAAATGGGATTTTTCCATTGGATTTTGAATTATTGCAGAAAATAAGGTCCTCAGGGACCAAAGGTTTATGATACTTAATCTTCACAAATGAATACCAATTTTATTATTTTTGACGAGTAAATGTGATCGGCAGTAGTAAAAAACTAACGTTAGTCTATAAATCAACTACAAGTTCCAACTTGAAGATGGGAAGTTTGCAAGAGTGTGTAAGTGAGTCTGTGACAAACATAACAAGGCTGTAAAGGTGGACTGTCCACCTCCCAGTTTTTGATTGGCAGGGAGCCGACAGGACTTCCAAGATGGCAACGGCCAGAGCCAACCACACTGAGCTTCACAACGGCTCCTCAGAAACCTATGGTTGACGTCACAGAGACTATGTTTTATACTACACGTCAAATAACATGAGAGGGGCTGAAATGGAATCAGTCATTTCTGCACAAACCTTACTCCACGGATTAACAAGAACTTGCTGGATATTCTCAAACCTGCAGCTTATTGAGCACATTGTAAAGCTGCAGAAGACATTCAGAGGGGTAATCTAAATACTGCATATTTCTCCCTCGGCTATGATGAGTCACTCATCCACCAAGTCAATCCAGCACCACCAGTCTATAAATAATCACCCTCTGGTCTTTGAATGTCTCACATTAAGGCCTAAATAGTCTTTAATGTTTTTCAGCTGAATGTCAGAATCCTATTAGGACTCATACTATTCTCTGATTGGCTGCCAAAAATGTTTGCAGCAACAAGTTTCTTCTTATAGTTATTATTTAATGATAATGTGATATAATATACACATATTGGGCAGCTTTTGTACGTCTTTTGTAAGTCTCCCTTAAACAATTCTCAGCCTTCACTGTGTCTATTACACCTGCTAAATGTGTTATTTAAAGTTATGCTTGTATTTATGTCTTATCCTTTATAGGTCAACAAACATACAGTATATGTGCAAATTAACAACAGAATTGTATGGACTTTGTATTTATTTTTAAAATGGTTCAAATGAGATTAGCCATTTGTTTACTTTACAGTCTTCACACCAGAAAGCAACAAATTATGTACAAAGAGTTAGACTAAAATTTGCTGGGGGCTGGTAGATGGTAGTGTGAAACTGCTGTGATATGCTGCCACTTGGTGGTTTATCTGAAAACATGCTTTCAGTTTCTATTGTTTCTACCTTTAGGTTTCTGTAGAGAAGATATTATTTAATGTTGCTAATGATGTCTGCCTTCATAAAAAATCACAACAAAGAGGTTTTGTACCATTTACAAAAGCTATTCAAAAAAAATGTAAGACTGCAGAGAAAAGTTGGAAAAGGGAAAAAACAAATTATCATTGGCCTAAAAAAAAAAAGAGCACACATTATGCCAGTGTTGGTCAGCCTACACTGGTTACTCATTGAATACAGAACTGATTTAAAAAATCTTTTAATCACCTATAAAGCACTGCATGGGCTGGCACCACCTTATATTTCGGAATTACCGCATCCCCTGTCCACGGTGAGATCACTGAGGTCTAAGGCCTTCTGGCTGTCCTGAAAGCCAGGCTCAAAACCAAAAGTGACCACTGGAACCCTCTTGCCCCTAGTTCTTAACAATGCAGAGTTACACACAATATTAAAAAAGCTGTTAAAAACTCATCTGTCCTGTAAGCACTTTGTC